AATATTTTTATATTATCAGTTACCTTTTGAAGAAAAATAAACTTTTAAATCGCTTTTGAGCTGGGAAATGTTTTAAGAAATTCATGTGATATTTATAACTTGTATTGGTATAAGTATATGGGTTTTAGGTGTTACATGTTTTCTAGCCTATCATCGACCTAAAATTCATATATTCTAGTATACACTTCAAAATCAGTTTTCATTTGTTTTACACGAAATTAGATTAACATACGAATACAACAATATAAGAATCACCTTCTAACATTTTTATAGATTTTATTTTTATTTTCCAAATCTATTATTAAGATCATAAAATCTATGCAGATTTCATTATTTTGCATCTTTAGCTTATCCACTAATTCAATTAACATTCTAAATATAAATTTAACCTAAATGCTTGAATAACAAAGTCACATAATATTCAAGAGTCACTTCTTACCATAGTAACTCAACCATTGTCTCATCGTAAGTCAATGTTTACATTTAACATAAATACACCATAAACATGCACTCACCTCGACACTTTAAAATCAACCATAACGTAATCCTCCAGAAAACTTTATATGAGCTCTCATCCTTTCCTTTGTTAATGACTTCACCTCGATTGAACTTGGATGGTTCACACACATCAACTAAAATCAAAGACATGTGTTATGATTCATTCTAACCATGCGTACAAATATAAAGAATTCTCTAAAAATAATCTTTCAATGCTCAATGAAAACTAATTACACTGCAAATTAACATTGAATACCAAAATTTCACTAAAATATTATTTTTTTCTCTCTGACATTTTGAAGAACCAAATTAGGGATTTTCACATCTCTTTTCCAAATTCAATAATGTTACCATTAAAATGAAGCTTAGATGATGGCAAACAACATGAACACTTCAATGTCATCAAAACTCTAAACCCCTAATTGAAACCCCTAATAGTCGAATATACCATGGTGTGTTCACACTTGAATTTTTTTCTTTAAACAACATCTCAAGCTTGTATAACATTTGATCCTCCATGATAAACATCAAAACAAGCATGAATAATTTTTCCTTAATTTTCTTCTTCATGGGCTAACCATGTATATCAACTTATCCATGAAATTCATCTTGATTCGAGCATGGAAAAGCTATATAAAGAATTAATCCTTCAATTCTAAGCCTTAATCTAATTTAATTCATAAACCCTAATTTTTCTTTCTTAAAATTCCATAGCTCATACCAACCAAAACCATAAATTAATGGTATCAAATTGAAGAGAACTCAAGGAAGAAGGAAACTGTATTTCATGGCTTCACCTTATGTCTTAACCAAAATGCTTGAAAAACAAATGAAATTGTTTCCCACTTACCTTAGCAACGCATGGCAATGGAGAAAAAAGATGGAGAAAGTCTTGAAATTTTCAAATCAATTAATAAAGTCATTTGTCATCTTTTAAATAAAATGAATTTTAAATTCATTTTATTATAAAATGACCATTTTACCCATAAAATACAATGCTCACTATTATGAAACATTTTAAAATCACTGCCCAAGGTCTAAGATTAATCCATGGAGTTAGTAGTTACCAACTTTGCTTTGTAAAATTCTATAATTACTATCTTGCCATTTTTCAACCAACGACTTAAATTTAACATAGAAAATCAACTTAAATCCAATGGACCATAATAAATATTATCATTTTAAAGTATATAAATGGAATTTTTTTCTCTTTATATATCCTTAGTAAAATATCTTGAATTTTTCATTTGATCTGATTATCAAAAAAATTCTCGAACTTTAACACTTTTTAGTCTTTAACACAAATTTCGTACCATATCCGAGTAACACGAAAACTTAATTCTTGGGGGTAATCTATTCATTCACAGGAAAAAAACTATTTGGGGAAATTACTATTTTGGTCCATGAACTTTCCAAAATTTATACATTTGTAACCAAATTTTCATTTTGGTCACTAACAAAAAATTTGGGGTATTACATATAAAAAACCATAATTTTAGGTTTAAAATTCTTTAATCTTTTAATTAGCTTAATTAGGAGAATATTTTAAAATAGTCATCGTGTGTGCTCGAGGTGGTATTTTAATTATTCAGCCAATAAAATTTAAAATTTATTAGGGTTTAATATAAAGGCTTAATTTTAGGTTTAGTTCTATTGAGTCTCTTAAAATTCATAATTTGGCTCTTTAGTTAGATAAAACCTTAATTAACTCACTTGGTATAATTAGGTTCAATAATATGTTGTTTGATTGCATACCATGATTTCAAAAAAATATAATTTATTTAGAGAATAATATTATATCTTCAACTTTTGTCTGATGATGATCATTATTATTTCCCGAAATTAATCAATGTCATTTTTAAGTTTGCATACATAGCGGATTATAAATTAAATAAAAGCTCAAACTCATAATTCATAATTTCAAAACAATGGGTAATAGACTATGTATCAATTTTGGGCATTTTTAGGATGTTAATCCTTTTCCATACATAACCAACTCCTTAATCAATTTTCTAATTTTACAGATCAAAACTTTTAAATTTTAGTATAATAAGATCTATAATATTTTATACAGACCAATCTTGCCTTGAAATGATTGGTGGTAACTCTCATTTTATAATATTTTGAAACCCTTCATTGCCTTAAAGGTTGTTATGATGTCTTTGCAACTCCATTTAGATTTCTTTTATTTTTACAAAGTATACTCAAACCATGAATCAATTACCCTTTGTTTTTTATTTTGGAAATTCTGAGTTTGAATCTATTTAGTTAATGATCCATTATGTTTTTTTTCAAAAATTAAAAATATATATTTTCTCTCTAATTACAAGCTTCCTTTGTTGTGATGCATTTTAGAATATTGCATATCATAAGCTCTAAACCTGAGCTTTTTCTTGATTTGTCAAAGCTAAAGGAAATGCTAACCGTCATAGAATACTATTTTTCTATGTGTAGGCTTAGCAGATTACTCCTAGAACACATTCTTTATGTTTTCAAAGATATTGTTTTCCTTTATCTAGACATATAGCAATGTATTCCTTGAATTTAATTCGGTCTAAAAGTCTATATTAGGCCAGGAGCGAAGTTTTTTTTTTACCTTAGTGGATAAGGACAATTCAGGTATCCCTTTTAGAACTGAATCGTCATATAGGGAATTTAAAAGCCTACCCATTAGAGCCATACAGAAACCTTAGAGAACAGGAAAGCATGCTATTAGGAATAACTTTTAGAATGCGAGCATGAGAACTTGGCAACATGTGGTTAGTTTTTAAAGCTTTCTTTACATTATTTTATGTTTTCCTTATGTTTTTATTCGGTTATTTTTTTCAATCTTACTAATTCATTTTTTTCTATTTTCTTTATATTTCTTTGTATTTGCATATACATAGCATATCATAGAAGGTATCGATTCCCAATTTAATTTGTCAGATTAGAATGCTTTAAATACGATAATTGCAGAAGAGAACGTAGATAGAATATAGAAGTCAGACAATGTTCTAAAAAGGCGCTTTAGGAAGCAACATGAAGAAAACTCAAATAGAAGAACTAAAAGCTTAGATAATGCATTTGGAACAATTTTTCCAAGATGACACGACCGTTTGAGAAGAAAAATAATTACTGGGAAAGAATGTATCTGAAATAGAAAGTGTTTATCAAAGTCATCAACCAGCATGACCAAAGTAAATCAAACTGAGGAGTTGATTTGAATCCAGCGCAGGACAATGGATGATGTTGGCGCTCAAGCACAAATGGTGACCCAATACGTACATTTCTCAAGGAAAGAAGTTGAAGCATTGAAGTCATACATCAAGACAAAATCGGAAGAGGAGTATCTTCTTGCTTGGATTGCTCGAAGAAATTAGGAAGTTAGACGATAGAGCTAGTTAGCGGTTGTAGTTTCTATCTACCATGATGTATTAAGATGTTGTGTTCTTTGAAAGTTTTTTATAAAAAAAATAATTTGGAATCAATACCTTCGTTACATTTGCATTTACATCTTTGCATTTTTAGTTTTACATTTTCTTCGCACTTGATTAAGCATTCTTACATGCACTCAATCATGAAAAACATGAAAATGATTCACAAGGGGTTTTATGACTTGAAAGTGATCCTGATCACACAACTTTTGTGTTTGAAGATAACGGTGATGGTCACCCAACGGAAGCTCATGACATACCCCTAAAATTATGGATCATAAGGACTCAAAATTGATCGAATCATGCCTCTGGGCATTTAATGAATGATGGGCAAATTGGAAAGATGGGCAACGAGTGGATTTGTTTCAACTTCATTAGTATGAAAGACTTTTTGCCTCAAGATGAATCCTCTATTGGAAAAAAGTGTATAAATCCCATCTCAAAATAGATGAAGTTTCAATAAATGAGTTCTCGTAAGAGGTTTTGGCATTCTACATGTTTCAAAAGATGAAGAAGAAGATGATGGCAGCGACGACCAAGGGAATCTATGACATTAGTGACAGATCAAAGGGCTAGGTAAGTAATCAATGAGTCAGGTAAGCAATTAATGGTCCAACTCAACTTTATGTCATCCATATTAATGATTGTTAACGTCGAATAATCAATTTATTACCTTTAAAACTTCAGTGAGAAAATAAAAAAAATATACTCAAATATTTAACTATCTATGTAATTTACCCTAAAAAAAGTCGATTTTCACTTTATTGTTCATTCATTCATATATGTCATGTAAGTTTCATTATAGAAGTGAACAAAATAACTTACGAAGAAATAATTCATGCCATGAAACTGAGAAAAAAAACGGTTTATATGAAACTGAAGAATTCGGTATAATACATGTACCATTTAGACAATTGACCCTAATTAAAATGGTTTAGTTGGATATTATTTCTGACCACGGTCTTACTTTATTTTTTTTTCATTTTTTCTATTTTCTACAGGTCTTTTTACCATTTAAGTTTTTTTTGGTTCAATTTTAATAAGTTTTTGAAGTAGCTTTTGATAATTTTGTATTTACAATTTTGATTTATGACATCATTACGTGTAAAGCATGTGTAACCAAACGTTAATCGACCACACATTGACTTCAAAATTGCAATAAAATTCTCGAGTAGTAATTGTGAAGGAAAACATTTAGTGTGCGTATGAGATGTACTTTCATTTGATATGGTTTACAGATTAAGTTACTTGGCTTCACAGAAGCCAGTATCCTGGTCACAAAAACTATCCCTGTCTAGCAATTTTTGAGGTGGAGCACTCAACAGAGGAGAAGAAGGAGAGCCATACGCATTTCGTCGGCTGTTCCCACACCCTAAACTTGCTCTGGTGCTTACCCCAGTGATTGGGTTTCTTCCATTTGCATACTTGCAAAGAGCCTGCTTAAACAAAAAGAAAAGAGCTCAAAGGGTATTTCAATTTAGCGTATGAATGAATAACATTATCTATCTAGATTCTTATGTGGCACATAAGGAAGGCATGGAATCAGGATGTACCAAGAGGAGGTCGTTTTCCTTAAAAAATTTAAAATTTTATATAATTTAGATATTATTTTATATTTTCTATTAATAATTTATTTTCATCCCCAATAATTTTATAACTTCATTCCCTAACATAAAATCCTAGGACCATCCCTGCACGGAACCATCATCGTTGTACCTACTTTTCTCTTAATTTGGCCCATTGCCAAAATTAACCCCCAACGTTTACCAGAATGATCATTTTGACCCCCTAATATTTGGCTAAATAGTCACTTTGACACTTATTCTTTCACTTTGAAGCCTTTTAACCCCCTAATGTCTCATTTTCGGACAAAAAAGTCCCTAATATTTATCTATATATATATATATATATATAGTTGAGCCTTATTCTTTCATATTGGAGCATTTTCACCCCAACGTTTCATGTTAGGATAAAAAAAACCCTATTTTAGAAGGTTAACCTTTGTTAACTAATGGTTTCCATCCATGTAGAGGCCTTTTTACCCCAAAAAATGAAACGTTGGAAACCAAAATGCTCCAAAACAAAGAATAGAGATCAAAATGACTATTTGATCAACGTTGGGGGGTTAATTGTAATACTATACTTAATTTAATCTGATTGATTGTCTATAACTGGATCTTTTTTATTTTTAGGGCAAACAATGGTTTAGTATTTGCTTTATGCTACTCATGGTTAATTAATCAGTTACAGAAGATATGCAAACATAGGAAGAGAGATTTAAGAACCTGCTTCTGAGGAAGATCAATAACAGCATCACTGAAATCAACACCTTCAATGAGGGCACCCCCGAGATCACTTCGGGTGAGGACTGATCTTACCAACACTGCATTTGTTAGGTTAGCCTCATTGAGAACCTGAAGGGTAACGAATCATAGATTTTTCCCTGTTTATTAATTGGTCAAATGATGAGGACCAAGGGTTCAAAAACTTTACCATGTGATCCATCAATGTGTCTCTCAGATCAGCACCTGTAAATTTAAGAAAAATCAATTCAGCATCGATGTCATCATTAGAATGTAGTTCTCATTTTCGAATGACATTTCTCTCTTATATTCGAGTGTTTGATTTGATGCAAAAGCTTATCTTCATGTATGCTTGCGTGTTATAAAATAGACTTAATACCAAAAATAGCCTCTAACATTAATCAAAATGGTCATTTTATCCCCTATTTTTTTTAGCATTTTGGCCACATCATTTTATTTTGGGGGCAAAAAAGACCCTCCATGAATGGGAACCATTAGTTAACAAACAGTTATCGCTCCAAAAGGACTTTTTTATCATAAAATAAAACTTTGTGAGCCGAAATACTCCAAAATAAAAGAACAATGGTCAAAATGACTATTTAGTCAAACATTAGGATCTTTTTTCCTAAAATGAGATGTTGAATCAAAATGCTCTAAAAAAGAAATAGGGACCAAAATGATATTTTAACAAATATTGAGGGCTAATTTTTCCATTATTGCCGTAAAATACTATTGATGAAATAAAACTAACCGTGTTTAGCAGCAAATTTACCTGTGAAATTTGTATGCAACTGCTTTCTCAAGATATGCACCATTGAAGGTTGAACCGCTGAAGTCGGATTCCCTCATATCAGCAGTTGTGAAGTTTGCCCTTCTGTTTCAACCATTTAGATTTTAGATTGATTATGAGCTGACATCCCAAAGAATTCCACAATTTGATCATTGTGTAAATTGAAATCCTTCACTTTACGAAGTCACCATAAAATAGCTTGGTTACCTGAAATTTTCATTAACATGAACAGCTTTCCCGCAAAACATAAGACACACAAGAATAAAACCCCTTTTCTTAAGAGAAAATTGTAATAAAATTGTAATTAACAGTGTAATAAAACGCACTTTAAATCTGCGGAACCAAACTGGGCAGCCGATCCGATGCCGAATTCACCACGAGTTTCCGCCTCAAACTTGTTAAGTTCAGCCATAGAAGAGGTATCGCCTCAAAAAACAATGTTGCTGCCAATGCTGTTGAAACCAAGGGTTTCCAGATCCTAAACTTTGCATCCCTGACTTCATGCTTATTGCTGGAGCAATCTTCCTTTTCCAAAGGAAAACTATGTTAAAGTTGAGTACTCAGTACAAAAATACAAAATAAAACAAAAATATTTGATCAAACACGCAGAATGAAGACATCGTTTACTCACCGATAAGAGCTTTGGTTTCTGGGTTATTTATGTGGCAAAAGACGCCAAATGAAGGCAGATGGCGAGATGAAGCTTTTGAAGAAGAAGAAGAAGAAGAAATAGTAATTAGAGGTTTGATGGGTAGAGAAGAGAGTGCCATTTACAAGTAGTTCATGGAGAGGAAAGGTGGAAGATGAATTAGAAGGGCATAGTGAGAGACTTGATCTTAAAAATGTTTGCTCCAGTATTATCCACTTGTTTTTGGAGTCCTGGGATTGGCTGAGATTCCCACACGTCTGTCTAGAAATGAAATGAAATGAAATGAAATGAAATGAAATGAAATGAAATGATATGAAATGACATGAAATGATATGAAATGAAATGAAATGAAATGAAATGATATGAAATGATATGAAAGTTGTATATAATTTTATTAATTGTGAATTATAAAAAGAAAAATATTTTATGGTTTTAAGAATAGTTATTAATCTTGTGGTCGTGGGATCGAGTCCCTATGGTGGGCAATTTATAATTGTCGGAGGTCTTCCACGGAAGTTGCTCTCAACCTAGTGTTGGGGCAGTCTACTACCCTATCTCCCCTACCCCACCTCCCTTATCCCATTACATATGAAAATTACGGTCCTTTTTGACTTAATTCTCGATTATTTTTAAAAAAATAATAAATATTATAATTTTACAGATTTTGAAGTCACTATCGATTTTTTTAAACTAGATAAGTTCAAAAATAAGGTATATTTTTACTTTTATTCAATTGAGTCCACATCTGATTAATTAGTAATAATCTATTTAGTTAGGGATTTAAATATATTGTTTATGGTATTATTATTATTATTATTATTATTATTATTATTATTATTATTATTATTATTATTATTAATGATACTATAGATGTTCATTAAGGACGACCTTATTAACATACTTTATTTTATTCATAACATAGTAGTTGATGATTATACTACTACTCTAATATTCAATAATTACTTTTTAATCTTAATTCAATTATTTAAATTATTATTTTATTTAAATTTTATTATAATGAATATATAAATTAGGGTAAATTACGTTTTTAGTACTTAAATTATCGGTTTTGGTTCATTTTAGTACCTATTATAAGTGAATTATAAGTGAATTTGAGCACAAAATAATTTTTCACGTACAAGAAGTATCGATATTGTTCTTACAGTATCGATATTATATGAACAGTACCAATATTGTTTATGTGGTAACGATACCCTAGGTAAGAGAAGTATCAATACTCATAAGGTAGTATCGATACTACCAGCATTGCTCAAAATTCAGAATGCAAAAATGGTACCGATACCGAAAGGGGTACCGATACTATTTTACATACTAGATACCATAGGCTTCGTATCTATACCCTCAGGGCCCAACGACTAGTTGTTTTAAAAATAACAAAGGAAGTACCGATACTCGTTATAGGAGCCCTCTGTTCTGGGCAGTTTTATTTTACAGAGAAAACATCCCCAACAACTCCAAATCACTCCCAACGGCTAGAAACGGCCACAAACTCATTCCAACATATAAATACAAGTTCAAGACACTTGGAAAAGGGTTAGAACACCTATCCAAACAATCAAACACAAGAAAAGAGTTTTTTATTCCTATTTTACTTTCTCTTGTAAATATTTTGTTATTGCGAGCTTTATTTTGTAAACACCCTATCTTCAAGAGGTTTTATTTGTTTACTTCTTTTTACCTTTTGTAAAGAGGACTGATTCTAGTTTAGCCAAGTGAAAAACTAGGGAGTTTGTAAAGGTTACTTTTGATCCTTGAAAAAGAAAAAACAAATTAGTGGATTTGTTGGAAAATCCTTAGTGAGGAGCTAGGGTAGTGGAGGTAGACTTAGTTAATAAGTCAAACCACTATAAATTTATGTGCCAATTTTTCTATATTTTATTCTCCCTACTCCCTAAACAAAGTTTTACCAATTCACCTCTTTGCACATTTTCGGTTGTTCAAATCAAGCATCTTCGATCCTAATAATTGGTATCAAAGCTTGACTCTTTAGAATGTTTAACCACCTTAAGACGATCCTCGAAGAAGCTCTACCGATTCTCGACGTAACCGACAAAGAGATGGTTTCAACCTTCGGTGCTTATTACATTGAAGATTCTCAATCGGTCAACAAACCACCTTACTTCAATGGAGCAAATTATGCCTATTGGAAGGATATGATGATGTTCTTCATTCAAGCCAATGATATAGGAGCTTGGAACTCTATCATGAAAGGATACATCATTCCAACCGGCGAGATGAATGATTGGAGTGATGAAGAGAATAAGAAGTTTTAACTCAAGGCTAAGGCTATGCACATTGTCTTTTGTGCATTAGGCCCGAATGAATATGGAAGAGTCTCCTCTTGTTCTAATGCCAAGGAGATATGGGACAAGCTCCAAGTCACTCATGAAGGAACCGATCAAGTGAGGGAAACCAAGATAAGTCTTCCCAACCATAGCTATGAGAATTTCAAGATGAAACCCGATGAAGATATCAAAGTTATGACGGATAGATTTTTCGTGATTGTCAACAGTCTCGAGGGATTTGGAGAAGTAACCCTAATGAGAAACTTGTGAGGAAGATGATCTACTATCTTCCAAAGTCTTGGTAATAAAAGAAGATGGTGATTATCAAAGCTAAAAACCTAAAGTCTCTCGCTCTCGATGAGCTTATTGGTTCTCTTTTCACTAATGAGTTGATGGTAAAGGAAGAGGAAGATGATGAAGAAAAAAATGATAAGAAGAATGAGGTAGGCATTGCCTTCAAATCTACTAATGAGAGCAATCAAGATTCAAGCAAAGAGGTAGATGAAGATGATGATGAAGAAGAAGAGATGACCAAGTTCTCCAAAAGATTCAAGAGATTCATGACTTCCAAGGAAGTGAAGCATGAATCGAGCCTGAAGAAGAGTCCCTCGGTGTGCTTCGAATGTCAAAGAATGGGGCATGTCAAGTATGAATGTCCCCTCCTAAAGAAGAAGGGATCAAACAAGAAAAAGGCATTTGTGGCGGCTTGGAGTGATGAAGATGGCTCCAATGATGAAGATGAAGTAGCCAACCTATGCCTCATGGCCATCGGATAAGATTCAATGGTAACTTCTAACTCAAATGAATTAGATTCTTATTATTTTGATGAGTTACAAGTTGCTTACAATGAGTTGTATTTGGAATTTGAGACCATAAATTCCAAAATATAAGAAATTAATTTCAAAACTTAAAGTTGAAAATGATTTGGTTTTGAAAGAAAAAGTTGATTTTAAAAAATGATTTGGAGCTTTCAAAAAGTCAAAATCACTGATTTAGAAAAAGAAAATTTTGATTTGAAAGTTAAGCTTGAAAGCTTAACAAAATAAAAATAATTAATTTCTAAAAACAACTCTTTATGTTTAAAAATGACAAAATGTTCACTTTGCCATTTTCATGGTCATATAGATCATGCTTGTCCTATAAAGAAAAGAAAAACTTTTAAAATTAGACAAGTATGGGTTCCTAAAGGGACAAGGGGCATTGAAACTAACGTCCAAGGATCCAGAGCAATTTGGATACCAAAATCTACTTAAATGTCTCTTGTGGGTGTGTGAGAGCAATGGTGATGAAAGTGACGATATTCAAATGCTCTAACCACACTTGAAAAGGAAGAGGTAACCTCTAAGCTTAATGCTTTTATTTTGATTAATTGGTTGCCTATTTGTGTTAAGCATGCATGAGTTTTGATCTTAAATGATTATGCATTGTTTTTTATCTCATTTATGTTGAAAAAGTTTTATGATGAACATTTTAAAGTTTTAATGAATTTTCATAAATTTTAGTTCATCATAATGAATTTTGGTCAAAATTTGTTTTAAATGCAAATGATCTCTCTAACAATTGATATCAAAATTTTCAAATGCATAACATTTTCGGATAGCTTTATGCACATGCATTTAATTTCAACAATTAATATTGCATAAAGTTTATTAGACTTTGATATATTGAATTTCATGTGCTACTAGCATGTTTGTTATTCTTTGTAAAATTCAATTTTGTTTAAGTGTCAAGTTTTTAAAGTCAATTTTTGTTTGGAATGCTACTTTTGAGGGGGAGCTTTTGATTTTTCAAATGCTTTTTATGTCAAATTTACCACTTACTGTCCAATGTTATTTTTTAGCTTTAAAGTTGAATTATTTTTGATATAACAAAAAGGGGAAGAAGTATAGGTTTCAAAAAATTCAATTTTTAAATGAAAAAGGGGGAGTTGAACATTTTCCAAAAATTAATATCTTTTTTCATTAAATATTTTATTAAGGGTGAGTTTGTCAAAAACAAATTTTCAAATGTTTTGTTATATCAAAAAGGAGGAGATTGTTGAACCACTTTTTATAATGTTTTGATATAACAATTTATGGCAAAATGTTTTTGGACTTGAGTTGAATTTATTCAAAGTTTCTAAAAATAATTCAAAATCCATTAAAAGTGAATTTGAGCACAAAACAAATTTTCACGTACAAGAAGTACCAATATTGTTTTTACAGTATCAATACTATATGAACAATACCGATATTGTTTATGTGATATTGATACCCTAGGTAAGAGAAGTATCAATACTCTCAAGGTAATATCGATACTACCAACATTTCTCAAATTCCAAAATGCAAAAATGATACCGATACCCAAAGTGGTACCAATACTATTTTACATAGTAGTATCAATACCATATAATTAGTATTGATACCGTCAAGGCCCAACGGCTAGTAACAACTAGTTGATTTAAAAATAACAAACGAAGTACCGATACTCCCGATAGGAATACATATATCCTCTGTTCTGGATAGTTTTATTTTGAAGAGAAAACATCCCCAATTACTCTAAATCACTCCCAACGACTTGGAACGGCCACAAACTCATTCCAACATATAAATACAACTTCAAGACATTTGAAGAATAGTTAAAACACCTATCCAAGCAATCAAACACAATAGAAGAGTTTTTCATTCCTATTTTACTTTCTCTTGTAAATATTTTGTTCTTGTGAGCTTTACTTTGTAAATACCCTACCTTTAAGAGGTTTTATTTATTTACTTCTTTTTGCCTTTTGTAAAGGGGAATGGTTCTAGTTTAGCCAAGTGAAAAACTAGTGAGTTTGTAAAGGTTACTCTTGATCATTGAAAAAGAAAGAATAAATTAGTGGATTTGTTGGAAAATCCTTAGTGAGGAGCTAAGGTAGTGGAGGTACACTTAGTTGAGAAGTCAAACCACTATAAATCGCTATGCCAATTTTT